AGAACTTTAAGAAAAACAGATGGTTACAGTTAATGACTTCCCCTGTGTCTGTTTTGGAGTAGCAGATTTATTTCATTTGTTTTTGTGTAACTGACTTTATTCTCTTTATGTGTTACATTTCAAATATGACTAAATGTTTACATTTTGTGACTAGCTGAGAAGTATTAAGGATGCTTTGCTAAAGTGGTGGCTTCGTGTTTTTCTTAGGTATGGAGACGGTCCACGTCCTCCCAAGATGGCCCGATACGACAATGGAGGTGGCTACAGAAGGGGAGGCTCTAGTTACGGCGGCGGCTACGGCACGGGAGGCTACGGCGGCGGCGGCGGCTATGGCGGTGGAGGCTACAGAGGCGGTGGGGGCTATGGCGGCGGCTACGGCGGTGGCGGCTACGGGGGCGGCTCCAACTCCTTTCGGGGAGGCTACAGAGGAGGCTCCCGCGGTGGCTATAGAGGTGGGGCAGGAGGAGACTACAGAGGGTCTGGGGGGTTCCAGCAAGGGGGGGGCCGGGGCGGCTATGGGGGTGGCTACTTTGGGCAAGGAAGGGGCGGGGGCGGCTATTAAAGCTTGGCTACATTGGTGCCTATGCATAGACAGTGAACAAAAAATGCATGCTACCTGTTTTCCCAGGTTGTTTATTTACTGTTAATACGTAAACCCGTTCTGTGGTGCATTGTAGTTTAAAAACCTGGCATACAGGTACATTAGTGATTTTGTTTATATTATGTAAAATATAATGATCTATTACTAAAGTACCACAGTTTGTATTTTTGTTTTCTTTAAGGATTAAAGATTTGCCTTTAAAATTAACTTGACATTTTCTTGGCTTTAGTTTAATACAGTAGGAATTACAGTATTACCCTGAATACAGGCAGTGTAATTATTGATCTTACACAGAATAGTTTTACAGTGCCAGTGATATCTGTCGGGGTTAAAACATCAGAGGAAAGACTGTACTGTTTGAAAAGTATACCAAGTGATACTGTTATTTGTAGTAGGATAGTCAGCCTTGGAATGGAATTGTTATTCTTGCAGTAAATGCTGGCCAGTATACCATTCACAGGGACCTCTGTGTCTAAATAAGACTGTTGACCTGGAGTTGAACATTTTGGCTTTTCCCCAAAATTTGTCTTTGAAAAACCTAAGACCAAGGCCAGCATTCCCTTTTCTAAGTTAGTTTCCAGTGCAAAAATTATAATTAGAAATAAAAATTAACCTACAAAACTCTTAAGTTTATATTTAGGCAGAGAAGGAAGGTAAGTTTCACCAGTGCATGAAGTTTATACATTTGACAATTCTGCCTGCATTAACATACATGTATTTCAACAGATACTGGTTAAGCTAGTTTATTTTAGTAGAGATGTTTATATACCTAAAACACTTTACAGTTTCCAATGGCTTTTTACATATTTTCAGTAGAGATTACAAAGGCTTTAGATTAAACAGAACTGGGCTCATATGATAAAGCTGCTTTCTGACACTTGGGTGGTCTCAGGTGAGTTATTTTGCTTTCATATCCTTTTCAAAATCCTCGTCTCGGTCTCCACGTCCTTTAGATCACCTTGAGCAGTTACTGTCGGGCAGCCCATGGCTCCAAATCTGTGTCTCCTACTGAGATTCCTTTGTGAGCATCAGACTACTGCTTACAGGACTAGTATAAACAGTACTTGCTGGACACATATTTCTGCTTAGATATCCACTAAAATTTTTTTAAAAACATACAGTTGACCTTTGAACAACACAGGTCGGGGTGCTGACCCCTCAACGCAGTCAGAAAGTCACAACTTTTTGTGTCCATCCATGGGCAGTCGGTTCTACGGACACCCCCCGCCCAGCCCCCCTGCCAGTACCAAAAATCTGAAGGTGCCCAAGTCCCCTGTACAAAATGACATAGAATAATGCATACAGTCAGCCCTCCGCACCTGTGGAAATAGCTGTTTCTGATCCGTGGAAGGTTGAATCCATGAATGTGAAATGTGGGGATGCAGAGGGTTGACCATGTATTGGGGGGAAATCTACATTAAGCGTCGACCTGTGCAATTCAAAGCCGTGTTGTCCAACGGTCATCTGTACTCGAAACTGAAGGAAACCGTCTAAATCACTCCATGCCCTCAACCCTGTTCGCTATTCAACTGTTTTATCACAGGAGTTTCAGCTCCTTAATTAACAAAGACATGTATACATTAATCAAATCAGTTCTACTTCCAAAACAACTTTCATTGTGCTTTTATAAAGCAACTGCCTATGTTCTGCTGAACAAATCATTGGCCTGGGTGTACGATGATGCAGCCCCCTCTTAGCTGACCTCAGCCGCCTGCAGCCTTGCCTGTCTGCAGTGCGTTCTCCACACCCGGGCAGGGTCGGCATTCCCACACCGGTCTCACACCTCTCCCCGTCCCCTCCTGGCTTACACCAGGGGCTTCTGTTGCCTTCAGGTAAGGGCTGAACACCTTGGCCTTCACTTCCTACGCTACACTGTTTCACCCATAGCCACACTGCACTTAGAGCCTCATCAATGGAACATGCCTTCTCTTGCTCTTTGTACATGTGAAAACATGTCTTAAGCTTTTGGGGCTATAGAGGCTTCTCTGAGAATATGGTGAAAGCTGTGGACTCTGCCAAGAGGCATATAACAAAAATTGTTTAATTAAAATTGCAGGTAGTACACAGACTCTCGGAACTTGAAACACCTAATTTGGTTCAATCACTGAAGGTACAGTATAGTTTGCTCAGTCACCACGTTAATAACTTTGGAAAAATGAAGACTCCTGTCCTCAAGTTTACTGCTTTCTGGTTCTAACTCTGAAATAACATGCATGCACTTCCTGACTCAGATGTCTCATTTGCTCCTCTTAACAGAAAGGAGGCAGATGACCAGCGAGTGACAGATTTGCTCACACAATGCTGTTGCTTTCTGTTCACTCAAAAGATCCTATCACCTACTCTTCCTGAAGCCAAAAACACAGGTGCAGGAAGAGGCCTGGAAAGGACAGTCCCTGCTCTTACAGCTCATTAAAACCATTACTGATTGTTCTTGTTAAAGCCTCCATGGACAGTCCCGGAAATTATCTTTTATGTCATGTCGCACTGCGCAGCGGCTATAGGGGAGCGCCGCAGAGAGCGCAGCGCTCCCTGAAACCTGAGGGAAACCGTCTGAGGCCAGCTGAGCTGGGAGCAGGGCTCTGAAACCCGCAGAGCCCCGGCCCGGGGTTGTCACGGATGAAGGGGAATAAACACAAAACGCTGCAAACACTTCTCTGTTTGCTGAGAGAGCAGACGGGGCACTTCCCTCCTACTAGAGAAGGCCATGGCACGTCCCCCGCAGTGGGAAAGGCTTCGTTCCCCTTTGTTCCCAGGCTTTTATTGAAAAACTTATCAGTGGGCTAGGCAATAGGAATGCATACATATACACGTTTATATTAGCATGTTAAGTTTCACAAAATACCTTTAAGAAAACAGGTGGCAGAAGTGTATTGATTTATATGGGGCCGAGAGAAGAGTAGTCTAAACAAAAGAGAATGAAAACAAGGGCAAACGCCTTAATGATCAAGGGCAAGGGGTGTAAATAATGGGAAGGCCCTTCGCAGCATGAGCTGACCAGAGATCTGAGGGAGGAACAGAGCACACTCTAAAAAATTTACTTTTAGGCCTGATTACCCTGGCAACCGCCAGATCTGATTTAGGGCTGCTTTTCCTGCACCGTTAGCCAGACAGGGGGCGGGAACCACCAAGGGATAAGGAGACTGCTTTTCAGCTGTGGTGAGGACTTTGGCCGTCTCCAAGCCAAGCTGAGAGGTGTGGGGGACTTTTGCCCCTTCTCCGTGTCCCCAATTTTTTATCTGCTGCCCCTATCGGCCAAGGCCTGTCTTAGGTTTCCCCTCCCTCGAAGGGTCTCACCCGTCGTTGACCATTGACCCTCACAAGGCAAAGCAGAGAGACAGGGGCTGCGTCCCTGTCCAGGGGAACAGGTCAAGTCGCCTCAGGAGCCTGTTTTTCCAAAGCCGCCTGATTATTTCCAGCCTTGGGGCCCTCCAGCCTGTTGGCAGGGTTACAGCTCCTGAGACCAGGCCAGGCGTTTCCCAACAATGTCACCCATATTCCATGAAACACTGAAGAACAACCAGGCCTTACTCTGCTCGGCCGCAGGAGAGTCTCCATGGCAACACAGGGTCTCTTGCTGGGTTAAGTAGTAAAAGGCAAGTTGAGGAAAGAAAAGTGTATGTATGTGAGCCTGAGTGTTTATTTCCTTTTATGTCCCAAAGTCAATATATAAGTTTTGCTTTGTGGAAAAGACTTTTTTAGAAATGAACCCCCTCTTTTGGAGGACACATGGCCATCCAATTTAAAGTTTATTTCCTACCTTATGTGCAGTTAGGTGTAGCCATGTGATCTAGCTGGGGAGAGGTGGGGAAGTTGAAGCAATGTGTGTGCAACTTCATGGAAAGGCCCTGTCCCCTCTGCTTAGCTGGAACTTAGACGTCATGACTTGAGCAACTGTTGCTGTTGGACCATGTGGTGGTTTTGAATGGAAGCCATGTAATGGTAAATCAAGATAAAAGAAACTTGAATTTCTAGCATGGAACACCTACACCCACCAGCCCTGCACTCGGTAGGCACATGGAACATCTACTAGCCCTATACGGATACCTCTGGACTTCTTGAATATGAGGGAGAAATACATCTCTATGTTGTTCCCTCTTTTATTTTCAATTTCCTTGTTTCCTGCAGTTGAACCTGATCCTATGTTAATTATATCATGTTTCCTTATTCTTTCCATTCTCTACATAGAACCCTTAATGACTAAGAGTAAAATCAGTGTTTAAAACCACATTTGTTTTTGGAGTTAGTGATGATGGTGGTACCATTTACTAAAAATATACTAAATACCAGTGAATCATATATTAAACTTAAAAGGATGAATTTTGTGAGTTATATTTCAAAACTTATTTTAAAAACCTTAAAATGGATTATTCAATGAAAGCATTAAAATGTTTAAATATTTTTAATAAGTTTTGAATTTAAAACTACTATTTCTGTGGGAGATAAGATTTATTAAACAGCTGTCTATCTGAAATACAAAACTTCAACATAAATAAACCCAGATGCTTTAACTTGTGACGATTCTCATATCCCCCTTTAAGTTTGCTTCTATTTTATTATCATTCATTTCCAGGTTCAGATTTTGCATTACTTTGGAGAGCCTAGTTTCATCTTTTTTGTCTCCTGAAGCAGCCCCTTTGTTGAGGGCTTCTGCTACAATAAAAAATTGTTCTGTTGGTTGATTAATGCTTATTCCATAGCCATTGTTGCTGTATATATGATTATTAGTCATCTTCAGTTTGGGTGCAGGAAGAACCTGTTAAAGGTAAATTAGTTTTCAATAATTTCTATAAAAATGTGAACTAATGTCAAAGTCTAGAACTTATTCTTGTGTTTACATATTTAAGACAACGGAATCTCGGTTTTGAACAAGTTATTTTTGTCACACTGGATTAACGTAATATTAACTACAGAAGTGTTTAACGAGGAAACATTAAATGAGGTTTTCAGTTTTATCAGTTATTGATAAACATTGACTCTAGATGGGGTTACAGCAATATCCCATAAAGCTCACTTTTAATATAAATATGAAAATAAATGATTTCAGATAATTAAAATGATAAACATGTAAATAATTTCAATGATACATAAACTAGATTTCTATGCAAAAACTTCATTAACTATACAAGCCTAGAGAGGAGCCTAGAAAGGTAGAAATTACAGAAGTAAAAAGGAATTGGGAGGCATTTCACTTAAAAATTACTGCTATCAGTGTTTTAATTGGATAGTTTACAAAGTTTGAAAGTAAGGGAATATTTCTTAATATATTTATTATTCTCAATTTGCTTTACTTCCCAAAATGTATTACACATCTGCTCAGTGGAGAACCTAAAACATTTTTATAAGAGCAAGCTCACCTACTTTCTCATATTCAGAATTATTTGCTAAGAATTCAAGTTGAAATCATTCAATTATAACACTGAACTTGTTTCCTATCAGCCATCATTTAAACCATATTTTATTATTTGTACTATTTTCCAAGCGATAATATTTAGACTAAATTTTAAGACTAAAAATTAATAGTATCTTTCTAATTATAATGTATATAATAATTATTAAGAAATGTGAGAATACCTTCATATTCACTCCACCTAAGGTGCTTTCTGAACTGTCACTGGTTCTGAGGTTATTACAGTGATGAATTTCGTTCCTTTCCAAAATGGCTATACTCCCAGGATACAGCTCAACACCAGCACCCTGTAAATAAAAAGTAAATAAAACAATCTGTAAAACATACATACCTCCAAAATTTTCTTTAGACTTGAAAGTAGTAATTCTGTTAGCAATGTAAACACACTTAAGTTACGTGAAAATACATCATGTGAAAATACACAATAGTGCAAGCAGCAGTTTATTGTATAGATGTTTGAAAAATGTGGGAAACTAAGTATTATCTGTGTTAAGAAAATCTTAGGCCTAGAAAGAAGGTTGAAGTCATATTCCATTACATTGCTCTTGTACCCAAATGAAATCTCTAGAAGGGAGTCAGAAATTTCTTCAAGCAATTATTTTCAGTTATAAAAATTTACTTAAAGGTACCCTAAATCTTTCATAATGCTGCTAAAGTCTATTCATTTTAGTGGAAAGGAAGAAAAAAATCATTCAGTTAAAGTTCCTCTTATTTTTTTGCTTTTAAAAATCTTGTTTCTCATTCAATTTTCCAGTCCTTTAATGATCTTTGTGATTGTTACCCGAAGACTAAAGCTGTTAGAAGTAATCACAATACCTTACTGCAATGTATGATAACTTGTAAGTCCTATTTCTTTTTAAATTATCAGGTAACTGATTCATGATCTGTTTTATAACCTCTCATTCGTACATTATTTTTTAAAAATCACACCTAACACAAAGCTAGTGATTCCTAACTTTGAACTTAGGCAGTTCACTTTTCTTAAATGTACTATAACACTCTTGTCCTCATTTTATTTTCATTAGTTTCTAAGCTTAATTATAATTCAATTCAAAGATGAAATAATTGTTACCCTTTGTTTGCATATTAAGATCACACCGAGTTATCTACAGTCATATAAAGCCGTAGTTTTTAAAATGAAATACCTGGGCACCAGTTATTTCACTGTCTGTGATTGTCAGAGCAGCCCCTGTAAGCACACACACTCCTGTTCCTTCGCATTTTAATACACAGTTTTCTACGGTCATGTGACCAGACTCCACCACCACAATACCATCAACTGTCCCTTGTTGTATCAAAGACAGATGCATTAGTTTCACATTATCAGCTTTGGATACCACAAAACTGTCATGAGAAGGTTCAGAAGTAATTATAATTTCCTCTCTCTTTCCAACTCCTGAATCAGGAACAAAGATACATATAATTAAATCAGTAATCCCAAAGTTCGAAGCCTTTGGTTATTCAATAATACTACGTTTTTTTCCATAAGTTTTTAATAAGCAATATATGTAATTATTCAGTTGTAACTAACTAGAAACTTACCTATAATGTACTCTTTCGTCCTTATTTTGCTGCCAGGTTTTGGGTTTATAATTAATCTAAATCTACCTATGGTGTTTGTTTAACATACTCTTCCCACTACATATTTCCATAAATTATATATAATCAGTCATCTACAGAATGTTAAGACAAAAAGTATCTTACCATAACCTAGTTTTAAAACCGTAATAAATTACCATACTAAGACAGACTGGCAGAGACTCTGGAATTACGTTGCAAGATTAATGTCATCACATCCATAGTTTCACTCTAGAGGAGTGAGAACAATCATCTAAATTGAACATCAATCCAAAAATAAAGGGTTGAATCTTCAAGAAGTCTACAGAACTTTCAAAGTTACTAGTGTGATCTTATTATCCATGTACTTCAGTAAATACTGATTACAATCATCAAAATCTAGTGAAAATTTTGCTGTTTTTGCATAGATAGGCAAAGTTTAAGTGGCCCGTTCTTTTGGCCAGACAGGGGAGAATTACAGTTACTAAGTATGTGCAGAAGGTTAAGGAAAAGTAAACTGGACTTTTCTACTTACATTTTAGTAAGTTTTCATGTGAATTAACTTTTCTGAGACAATGCCGAATATACATTAATAGCCTGCATTTGGGTTTTCCCACTAAAATGATATGAAGTGCAGTGGAGATAGATGAGAAGAAAGTTGTAAAAATACAGATGATGCTAATAGAAAATATTATGAAGAGGTTTTTATTTCTCTAGTTTTGATCATTTAATGAGAATCTGTGCTATATTATCAGTGGGAACAAGTAGTGTCATTGATCTGTCCTGGTACATTATGTCCAAAAAAGGTCACCTGTACAGACAACGTACACATGAACAGGTGAGAACAATCTTATTTGTGAAAGGCACAGAAGGGATTTTTGTGAAAAATAAACTGTTCCAATTTCTAGTGATTTGGTAAACCATGTTTATAATAATACAATTTGTTAGTACACATTGCTATAAGAAGATTGCAAACAATGCCCTGCTAACCCTTTATAATGATGTCATCTGTCAATAAAGCAAGATTTACAGCTTGATATTCTCCTGGAAAAATAACTACTGTATCTCCACTATAGCAACTCTCCAAAGCCAAATCCAAATCATCATGCTGTTGGAGAAATGTGTCTGAAGATAAGTCCTTTACCTGAAAAGAAGAAATAAAACAGCATACCTTTAACAACAGGTTAAACTGAAAGCGGTCATTTTAATCAGTAACTTATTGATAGTGTGCTTTTCCCAAGACTTACCTTGTATAGGTAATACACTGTAATTATTATATGTATTTACGTTTGTTAAATGCTCAGAGTATCGGACCATTATTTAAGGGAGTGACAAAATAAGGTTTTCTTTATGATCACTAATCATTTTACAGCCATTAACTACTGTAAGTACAGGAGTCATATTTTGAACTTTACTATCTCCGAAGCTTCACAGCAGTTCTTTGAAGTAAAGTATTGTCATCTCTAAAAGGTTAAGGAAATTGAAACTAAGCGAGATTACAGGGTTTGGGATTTTATTTGAGATGATGAAAATGTTTGGGGACTAGAAAGAGGGTGGTTTGCACAACATTGTAAATATACTAAATGTCACTGAACTGTTCGCTTTAAAATGGTAATTTTATGTGAATTTCACCTCAAGAAAGTGGGGGGCAGTACAAGAAAGAACACATTGTCTTTGAGGAGTCAGGTGGCAACAGAATCAGCAGTACAGATGGAAGGAAATTAAACTCATCTTTGTAGCTGGTATATTTTCAGACAGCACATGTTGTAGCATTTCAGGGAAAATCTGAGCAATGACAACACATTATTGGGATATGAGCTGCAAAATAGTAATAATAATAACAGTTGGCATTTTTGTGGTAGGCATTGCCAAAAGATTGATATAAAATCAGTTAGGCCTAACAACCATACCGGATAGACTCCATTACTCCCTTTTACAAATGAGGAAATAGCAGAATCTATGTAACTTATTTAATTTCACACACATATTAAGAAGCAAAAACTGTGACTCAAACCCAGGTCTTTATTCTTTCAAAGCCTGCGTTCTCCAGCACTGCACCGTCCAGTCTCCAGACTGAAAAGGGAGAGCACAGAGGCCGTGGTGAGCAACGGGGCACTGCCGTTTCTCGCAGGCCCGCGACAGTGACTCAGGTTTAACTGCAGTTGAGGCACTGGCACAAGTGCTCCTTGTCTTGGCCAAGGATGACTCAAAAGCCAGAGTGGGTCTAAACCCCAAGACAGCCATCACAATTTGAGAATTTAGGGAATAAGAGGAGGTGAGGGCTGATACTAGGTTGACCGGAAAGGTATTTATGACATTACAGAATATGGGAGGCCGAGGATGGGCGGCGTACAAAACAGTTAAGTTCAAAGTTAGAAGAGTTGTACGTTAGTGAGACATCCAGGTAAAGAAGCTGAGAGGGGCAGGTAGTGATGTTGGTCAGCAGAGGAAACAAGAGAGAGGCCATACATTTACCGAAAAACCACTACGTGTTAGGCACTGCTAGGGATTTTATACATAACATCTCATTTTATCCTCACAAAAGCCTCTAAGGTGGTGGTACTTATTGTGCACAGGGCATTAGTCTAAACATACTACAAATATGAACTAAATACTCACAACCCTATAAAAAAGGAACATAGGATTATCCCCATATTACAAGTGAGGAACTAAAGCACCCATGGGTAAATATGTAACTTGTTGAAAACCACACAACTAGTAATTGCCAAAGCCAGAATCTGAATCCAGGTAGTTTGGCCTATGTTCTTAATCAGCACAGTACACAGTTTTTATCTTTCTCTCTTTTTTTTTTTTTTAAAGATTTTATTTATTTTTAGAGAGAAGGGAAGGAAGGTAGAGAGGGAGAGAAACACCAGTGTGTGGTTGCCTCTTGAGCACCCCCAACTGGGGACCTGGTGCGCAACCCAGGCATGTGCCCTGACTGGGAATCAAACGGGTGACCTTTTGGTTCACAGGCCAGCATTCAGTCCACTGAGCCACACCAGCCACGGCTTATCTTTAAAGCGCTCTGCAAATAAGGAAATTGAGGTTCAGAGTTTAGGCAGCTTGCCAAGGTGACAGTTAAGTGGCCTCAAATTCCCGGCAACCTTCCCCTCATTATCAGGGCCTCCCAAGTCCATGGATATTTCCTTACACAGAAAAGACAGGGTTGCAAAGCACCGGATGAACAATCAAGGAAACTTCTCATTATTACATAGGAGAATAAAGTCAGAAATAGATTTCAAACAAAAAAGAAATGAAATAAAAATGATATAAGGCTGAAGATAAACACAAAATCTATACCTTTTTATAAAGATGTTGCAAAGATAATCGGTAGAATAGTTAATGTTATTGACTAATATAATCCAATAAGCAGTTAAAAGGAAAGTTAAATTTTGTTGAAAATAACAAAAATGGGTAAGATAGCAGACAAGACCAGTCGAATGAGTCAGCTTTATACCTCACCACCTCCTTGCTGGACTGCCCTCTGCTTCTCCTACAAACCACACTCTCCATCAAACGCACACTCGTTACTCCTTCAACCGAACAGTCGGGCCGCTACCATGTGCCAAGTCAGCATCAAGCGAGGTGATGGACATAAGGTAGATATATGCCCTTTGCTCATGTTCTAGTAAGAAACAGACATTCAGAGATTCCCACAAACGGTATGAAGGCCAGCCGTGACCCAGGGAGAGCGGCAGAAAGGGGAAGGCAGGCGCTCCGATGGCGTACGGCCGTCTCCGGTATTCGGGAAGGGGAGCAAGGCTGCAAAGGACGTGCAGCGGCTCTGTGAGGCCAGGTGGTGGACACCAGGGTGCACGTTAGTGACGGGGACAGTGGGTTGGAGGCGGCGAGGGATATGAACAGGATCAAGCTCAGGACTTGTAGTCAGCAGCTGGGAAGATGGTGGTACCATTTACTGGGAGAGGGAACTCTAGAATATAAACAAGTCAATGAATACGATCATGAATTTAAACGTGGACGTTTGAGTTGAAGTTCTTGTGAGATAACCGAGTGGTGATAAGCAACAGGAAGTTGAACATAGAAGGTCGGGGCTCAGAACAAAAATCTGGGCTGTGGACATACATTTTAGATTATCAATATATATAACTGAGGTCCTGGGTAGAAATCAGAGAGATCGCTCAGGGATATTATAGTGCAGGAAAAAGCATCAAGCATTTAGAGGATAGAAGGAAGGGGGAAAGCATCTAGAAAGAATGAAAACCAGGAAAGTATAGTAACAAGACAGCAAAAAAGAATATTTCAAAGAGAGCTGTGAAATGCTACTGAGAGGCTGAGATGGAAATACTTACATTTTGATTTAGAGCATTTTCCCCTCTTGGGCTGGTTAAATTTATAGTCTTCCTTCAGGTTACTTCCTTCAACTGAGTTGTGTGTTCCAGCCAGTATTGCTAGAACTGCTCATTCTGGCTTACGTAACTCATCTTACATGCATCTTGGACATACTGCTATCATAGCATTTATCATTCTTTGTCATAGTTGCCTATTTACTTGTTCCTATCCACCATGTTCAACCTTGTAGAATGTGTGAGGAAGCAAGACCATGGATCTGGTTCAAAGCTGTATGTCTCATCTTGGCCTTCCATCCTTTCCATACTACTAGCATAGTGCCCGACAACAAAGGTTAGCCCTCAGCAAATAATTGTTGGCATGTATTCATTACTACTTACTATAGGCCAATCACTAAGCTGGCTGTAATGGGGGAAATAAGGCGTTCATGGGTTGGATGAGAACGCTGCCTTCAAAGAGCTTCTTTTCTGAGTATATACGACTAAACTTAAATGAGCAAAGAGGAATCAAGTGTGTGTCTTACCATGTCAGTAGTCAACACTTGCGCCACAATATGGGTTATAGTCTTTCCAAAATCTCTTTTTCCTTTTCTACGCCTCAGAATTCTTGGGAAAAAAGGTCCATGGACTCTGAGGTTGAAAACATTTATGATTAACAATGAGAAACGATTCAACCTATCCTTAAGAAATAACTTAGTACTAAGCATCTTTGACAAATAGGTGTCACTAATTTTAAGCTCCTTGAGAGCAATGAGCAATTTGAGAACAATGCATGATTAAAATCATTTAGATAACAGTGTTTAAACCCTTGAACTCTATAATCTTTTCATTTTGATGATACATACCTGAAATTTGAGCACAACCCGCTGCGATTAATACCTCAATCCCCTCGACGTTTCAATACAGTAGAAAATTGCCCTGATTGTACTTTCATAATCCATTGAATTATAGAATCAAAGCAAAGGTGGGTTATGCCTGTGATACTGAGTCATAAGAGTGTTTTGGGGCATATCTAATTTTAGATACTATGTTCAATTAACAAATTGTCTCAAAGCATAGGGTCGCCATAGAAATAGTTAGCTGTAGGCCTCCCAGAGAACAGTTCTAGTTTTCTCTTAGTTGTTTTTATAGTTTGCTATTCAGCCCTTCTAATTAATTCTCTTCTTTCTCCATTACTTTACAGTTCCTGTTTTCTAGCTCTTAATCATTGATGTGTTGCCAAAAGAAAGAAACTTTGAGTGTAACTTTTGCCATTACTGTCAGCCAAAGGGACACTCCTTTTCCACCAGAAGTCGCTTTACCAGTAACCTCCTTAGGTGTAAACCTCTGGGTCCGCTGTAGCGCTTTGAGTGCTGCTTGGTACTAACTGGGATGCAGCTTTAGCGCCAATATGTTTTATGTTATATTTCAATTATCAAATATTTTCATGCAGTTTCAGTTTTCAGGAAACTGGTTCTAAGAATTTATCATTCATTATTAAAACTTGAATTCCAAAATATTAGCAATGTTCTCCAAAGCAAAAGTTTCATTTAACATTTCAAAATCAAATCCACTCAGCATTTTTATACCTATGTAAACAAGTGGTTTTGATATTGAGACAGGGAACTACTCATATGTTATTTTTTCACCATATTCTTGATTACTATTGCTCAAAGAACAAAGAAGCATCCTACATTCAGGAAATAGCAGTAATCATGCAATCCTAGTTTTAAAATCAAATGTACGTATCGGTGTGTTTTTTTAAATCAAATTTATTAGGATATAATTTACAGAAGTCACTAATTTTAAGTGAATTATTTCATGAGGTTTCACAAATATATACACCCATGGAGCTCAATTACAATAATCAAGATACAGAACGTTCCCATCATGCTCAGTGTTGCATCTAAACACTCATTGCCAAACCCAGGGTTGCCTAGGTTTCTGCCTATGTTTTATTCTACAAGTCTTACAGTATTGTTTTATATTTAGGCCTGTGGATCAGTTTGAGTTAATTTATGTGAAATCTTTTTGCTTGTTGTAAGCAAGGCTAATGATAACTCACAGACTCCTTACATGTCCAAGCTGAATCTGAAAATCCTTGGATCTTTTCTCTAATTTCCATTTCTCTGTTGAGATTTTCCATGTTCTGATTAACACCATGTTTCCCTTTAATTCTGTAATCATGTTTTCCTAAACATATTTACAATAGCTGCTTTGAAGTCTTTGATAAATCCAACATTTGGGCCCCCTCACAATTAGTTTCCACCGTTTTGTCTCCTGAGTATGGAGCTAACATTCTGGTTCCTTTGCCTATCTATTAATTTTTGGTCAAACACTGGAGATCTTGGATACTATGCTTTAGTAACTTTGGATTGTGCCGTGTCCTTCTGAGGACTGTCAGCCTTGTATTCTGCCAGGCAGTCACCCTGCCTGGTCTCAGGATGCGCCCCCCCGCCCCCGCTGAGACCCACCCAGCATTGCCAGGTCCACGGCAGCTGACGTCTCTGCTCAGTTCCCTCAGCTCCCAGGTTCCTTTTCGAGCGTGGCTCCCAGATTTCTCTGCCCACCAATGCCGGCCTAGTTCACTTAGTGGTCAACCAAGGATTTGAAGAGGCAGAGTTCATGCTCAGTTTGTGGATCCTGCCTTCTGCATCTTTCACTTTCAGCGCACCCCACCTAAATTTCCAGGTGATCTGGCAGCCCTATACCCTGTCCTTTCTCACCTAAAAACACCCTGCAATTTTTTTGCTTCCAGAACTATGAGATTTGGTGATTACCCTCAGATCAAAAAGCCACAAATTCTCATTTCTTACCCACTCCAAGGATAAATCCATTTCAAGGATAAACTTTTCCGGTTGTTGCTCACTTTTGGTTATTTCGTAGTGCCTCAAAATAGTTGGTTGCTTTTAATAAATTTTGTTCAGATCTTATCATTGTTATCAGTGGAAGAGTTGGACCGATGAACTCACTCCACCATGCCCAGAACTAGAATCTCTGTGAGTCTATCTTTTAGGATGAGAGAGCTCTGTGGTGCCCTATTGCCACTGAATCTGAGGTCTAGCGATGATAAGTTATATTCAGATTCAGGTTTTGTTGAAGCTGCATGTCTAGATAAGTGGATTTCAAAAATCGTATCTATATTGATTGCCCAAAGTAACCCCAAGGTTTTGTTATACAGGAATCCCAATAACAAGGGAACATTAAGAATAGGCACTAGAATGGGAGTCTTAGTGATTGAAAACTAGTCAAATTTGAAAGAAAGCAGAAAAAAATTTAGGCTCACAGTCAACTGATAAGTAAAATGTGGTTCATAATTCCTAAGGCAAAGAGTGAGTAAAGGGAGAACACAAAAGAAGGGGTATAACAATTTAGTATGAAACAGTCAGAAGTTACTTGGTTCCATTCAAGATTTTCTGTTGATTTGGGGACCAGAAGGAAGGATTCCTGTTTCCCCTCTATTTAAAAGAAAGACAGCAATATATATTTTATTACAGAACAATGTAAAAATGTTTTAATACATTTGTAACTATTCTGGAGGAGAATGATACTGGTTAAATCTGCATTGTTTTATTTATCATCAAAAACAACTCATCAGTTTACGTTGGTTAGAACAGCAAAACTATGAGGCAGCCAAATTAGTCAGCTCTCTCTTTACTCTGCACAGGATATGTGGAGGAAGTCGACCTCCTTTTGAATGTTTTGACCATAATTGAGAAAGTAAAGATGAAACATAAGAAAAGGACTAGATTTATGAGACTGCTTTTTCACACACACACAAAAAAGCCACGGCTGCTGTGGCTCAGTGGATCGAGTGCTGGCCTGTGAACCAAAGAATCACCAGCTGGATTCCCAGTCAGGGCACATGCCTGGGTCGTGGGCCAGGCCCCGAGTTGGGGGCATGCAAGAGGAAACCGATCGACCTGTCCCACATCAGTGTTTCTATCCCTTTCTTTCTCCCTCCCTTCCCCTCTCTCTAAATAAATGAAATCTTAAAAAATAAGAACAAACCCTAGAAACTGAAAATGAATGAGATTGACAAATTTTTTTTAAAAAAAGATTTCAGGTAATTCAGCTATTATAAAAGTAATTTTCCAATACTAGTAGTTGCACCTTGTGCTTATCTCATAAATTGGACATTTAACTTTATAATCCTATCAATGGGGCTAACAAATATAAGTGATGTAATTAAAGAATGACCACGTAATCTTTTTGTTTCCATTTAAAATGGAGCAAATTATTACCGGAGGCGTAAATCTTCCCACATTTTCAGTAATCCACAGAGCATTACTATCTCATAGTATTTTTTCCAGCATTCAACAGCCTCTGCTGCAGAGGGATCTTCTTTAATACGGCTCTGATACTCGATGAGCTCGACACGCTTGTTTTTATATTTCTCCAAGGTTTTTTTGAAACGTTGTGCGATGGGGCCAGGTATTGTTCCATCCTGCATATCACACCACCTGAAAAGTGTCGACATAATTACAATATTTATCTTATACAATGTGCTGAATAAGTTTTTCAGATACTTACAGATTAATTCTTTCTTCAATCAAAGCTGTATAATTCTCAGAACTTCCTTCATCATCCCAGTCTCTCCAAAGAAAGTCATAAAAAAACCTATGATCGAATTAAGATGAAAGTGATCAAAAGCAGTCAGTACCACATTGAAAATTAAAAAGACATTCTGATGTCAATATTGTTTAGATGAATTTTAATACTTAAGAAAACATTTTTAAATGAACTTTTGGAGCTAATATTAAAGGTAAAGTTAAAAAAATTTGATTATCTGGATTCTATTTTAGTTACTACAGATAAGACAATGTTCCTTGAAGTGGAATTGTAAATTGCAGGTTTCAGATTTCATAGATTTGGGTTATTATTTTGTATACAAACCCCCTCCAAAACTTAAGATATCATCAAATCTGTATATTGAGGGGAGGAAAGCATTAGAAAAACAAAAACATGCCCCAAAATATTCTGTGTTAAGTTTATGGATAACTTCTCTCCAATTGTTCCAGGCTGTAAGAACCAATTATAATGTGAATAACATCTAGTATTTGTAATACCCTTCAATGTGAAAAACGAAATCCGATATATTTAAGATGCATCAACATGAAAAGAATTTAGTGTTACTTATCACTAAAATTTTTAAGTTAATTTTTGTAAAATGCAATACTGAAAAATAGCAAACTTTTATTGCCTGTATATACTACTTCACAAGAGAATGTTTTAACTTGGAGTTACAAATATGTTCATTAAAAATGGACAAACTGAATTCAGCAGTGAGTGAACATTAAATCAATAAAAAAAAATTCATGAAGTACCTGTATTAACAAAACTTACATATTAAATCAAAACTTTGAATAGGATAATTGTAACTTTCAGAAGTATAAAACTCTAATACCTTACAATTTCTAAGGCCAAAGCAATATCGCGTATAGCAGAGTCTTGTCCTTCAACAGGGTACACTTCCAAGAGAGGCACACACTGCTCTAGTTCCTCTAGAATCTCATCAACCAAATCCCTTGGAATATTTGCAATATTAGAAGAAAAAGGCTCAGCAACAGAAACAGTAACTTTGAAACAAGATGTTGAGCCTTGGCGTGGTGTACAAGTTACCTAAAATAATTATTATACAGTTTGTAATTAAAATTTGTGAATGAAAATAAACCACACACACTTTTTTCTCATATATTACCTACTTTCAAATCTTGTAAAAATTTGTATGACTTCTCTAACAATCAAATATAGCATAATTATAGATTAACAGTAAATAAAGTACCAACATAATTTTTAAAACTATTTCTTAAAGACATTAGCTTTCAAGGTTCATGAGAAGATTTGCATATCTCCTACGTTATTTATTTCTAAGTTTGAGTTGCCAGACTTTTGGATTTTATAAGACAGTAATATTTAAAGTTTTGGGGGGACTAATTTTGCCATGAAAGCATGTTTTAAAAAATCCTTCTATTTGTATTACATCATTTGTAAAAGAAAGGTTATTCAAATACAAAATAAACAAAAGGACATATTCAAACAGTAACTCCTTAAGTTGAAAAAATTTAGCTTTACCAACAACATACTACATTGTTTACTTGTGTTGCTTACTGCACACAAGTACTGCATTGTGGTGAAATGTTCATTTCACCACAACATAGTGATAACCCCCAGCACTTGCCTGACAAATCAGTGCTTGAGAATCTCTGAGTTGACAGTATTGTTTTCAAAATAAATAAATATTAACACAAAATTTAAAAATTAACAGAAGCTGGTAAAAGGGTACAAACTTTCCATTGTAAGATGAGTAAGGTTTGAGGATCTAATGCATAACATAGTGTCTATGGTTGATAACATTATATTGTATAACTGAGATTTGTTAAGACAACTTAAATATTCCAACCTGCCCCCCTAAAAGGAAATATGTGTAGTGATGAATAAGGGAATCAAATTTATGACATCAGATATACCACAATATGTAACCTACAGACATAGAAAAGCAAAACTTCATCAGATGAAGGCTTGGAAGTTGATGTATTATATTAAAAGGGTACTTTTCATAAGAAAAAATTTCAAATTTTACTGATAGTTTTCTGATCCATTTTTTTTCTTTCCTAATCTAACTGAATATCTTAATTGAGATACATGAAGAAGGGAAATGATGGGAAAAGTCTCAAATTTTTTAAAGCCTAAAAAATTACTAATTTTTAAGAAACACACTTTTAGTATCTTTATGTCATTTGAGCAATTAAAACTAGGCTAATAAATACTGATATCACTAGATTACATTTAATGATATTATAGGTAAATGGGTGCTAATATTCCCCCTTACCTTCTTTTTACACTAATTTAACTACAAACTTAAAAATATAAGTAAGCTTTTGCCAACTTTTGTTTAAATATCAAAGCCCCAAATCAATAAGGTCATATTTTAGTCTTAAAAAGAACTGATAATTTCCAAAGAACAAAGACTAGGTAAAAATTATTTACCTCAACTAGTATACCAACAAAAGGGATAGAAGCTTCTTCATATTTCACAAAGAATAGCTCAGGATTAGTCTTCCAGACTCCAAGCCATTTGTCTTTCAACTTTAATTTTTCTGATAGATATTTATTCATAGCCTCATCAGCATCTTCTGCCTAGTAACAACAACAAAGAAAAACAAAAAAAATAGCATACATAAAATTATATGAAATTTCAGATATATATATATGTATGTTTACTAATCTCTATTTTAAACATGGAACCAATATACTCGTAAGTAATGAAAAACCTGGAAAAGACTAGATCTGAACTGAATCTATATTTAGTGGAAAATATGAACATAGTAATTATCATACTTAAAAAGTTATTTCCTCTGAACTTTAAAGATGTAATGACTTAACTATTCAAAATATATTCAGTACATAAAAATTTAAAATAGCACTCCATTCTCTATAACAATTGAATATATTAAACATTCAATAAATATTTTTCCATTTGATTTTTTAAAATTTAAATTCAGCTATCTCAAGGATGATGGCCTAAGCTATTATGAAACTCAGTCATTAGACCCTGTTTGATTAATGACACAATCATTTACATAACTGTTTTTCAAAGTCTTTAAGAGACCTAGCCTTCTGCAACCCTACATATTAAAGTTGGCCACTAAGCCCTGGCTGGTGTGGCTCAGCAGACTGAGCTCTGGCCTGCGAGCTAAAGGGTCTCTGGTTCCATTCCCAGTCCGGGCACATGCCTGGGTCGCAGGCCAGGTCCACGGTAGGAGGCACGTGAGAGGCAACCACATGTTGGTGCTTCTCTCCCTCTCTTCCTCCCTTCCCACCCCTCTGTCTAAAAATAAATAAATAAAATCTTTTATTAAAAAAATAAATTTGGTCATTAATACTGTCCTAATTTTATGATAACTGTTTTTAAGAATAATTTTTTCAGTTATAAGATATGGTTAAGCTACAGAAAAATCTGAAAAATACATAAAATATAGGGAAAACAAAATCACCCCTAGCCTTGGCAGCCAGAGTACAACCGCTGTTGATATTTTGGTGTATTTCTTTCCAGCCTTTTTTCTATGCATATATTCATCATATATATAAATCAATGTTTTGTCTGCTGATTTTCTTAATTAATATTACAGCATAAGCTTATCTATAGTTCTTGAAAACATAATTTTTACAGGTGCATGGTTTTCCATTATACGAAGCCACAAGTTCTTTACTGCCCCAGTAGTTGGAAATGAGCTTCTAATTTTTAGTTTTTATAAATGTCACTGCAGTGAATATCCTGGTACATAAATTCTTCTGCTATACCTTTTAAAACAACAAAATAGGTCAGAAGCTGACAATGTTTGCTCTAATCAATATTACCAGGTACAGTATATATCTTCTCTACAAAACACCATTCCACACCCTCAACTGATGTGTGGGGGCCATTTTTAGGGTGTAAGCATTTTTAGTATTGCAGCGTCAAACCCAGGGGTACGGAATTTTACCCTTATGTCTGGGCACAAATTATTAAATGAAAAACTAAGACGTATACGCAGGCATCGATGAGTCCTATCTACATTTTTCAGAAGCTTTAGGAAAACCGGAAGAAACCCTATTGGCGCTGCGCCCTTAACTGACAATTTTTCGGTTGGACGGAAATCCAATTGTAACTCTTTAGGACGGGGCCTATGTGCACCTAATACGGTGTAAGCCCTACAAACGTTGAGTAAATTTGATTTTTCTGAAATGCACGTTTCCTTTGCGCCCTCTGAACCCCCATCGCCGTGAGTTGGACCCGATTCCCCTGCTCACCGCGCCCCTCCCCGCCCCCTTACAAGGGACCTGAGCTGCATTCTGGTCCTATTTCTCCGCATTCTCACCTTACAACCCTGCAGCACCTGGTCGCAATAGAGCGCCACCTTTTCGTCGCGCCACATGCCCCTCATGGGGGACACGCAGACGGGAGGCAGTGGCTGCGCCTCCGCCTCCGCCGGCACGGAGGGAAGGGGCACCTCTTCCTCCTCCGCGGCCCCCTCGCCCGGGCCCTGGGCCTGAGTCGCGGGCGGGAGCTGCAGCCGCCACCGGGCCGCCTCCCGGCCCGCTTTACCCTTCACTGGTCGAGGGGAGGCCACCACCGGCCGCACCGGAGACGCCCCGCTCTTCAGCGTCCCCGCCGCCGCCACGTCCCCGCTGGGCGCGGAGGCAACCTTTTCGCGTCGCCTGCCAGGGCTCACGGCTCGGTCCCAGTCCTCAGCCCTGGACCTCGACGCCATCTCCGCACCCCGAGGGCCAGCTGCAGCGGTTAGCGCCTTTCCCGCCCTGCGCCGCGTCGGCCAATGGGCGGGCTGTGCCCTGGGAGCCGTCAACGAGCGCGGTGGCTCGAGGGGGTCCCGCCGGCGGTGAGTTGAGGATCGGGTGCCAGGGTGGCTGTTGGGGATGGGGCTGTTGTGGGGCGCGGCTTGACGGGGCGGGGCGGAGGGGCGGTTCAGAGAGAGGTGTCGGGGGCGGGGCTCTCGGGGGGCGTGGTGTCAAGGGGCGGGGCGGGGCGTGCTGGTGGGGCGGGGCGAGATGTCGAGGGGCAGGGCTTGGGCACGAGGTGTTGCGGGTGGGGAGGAGTGGGTTAAAGTGTTGAGCTCAATGCTGTGCTCCCATCCCTCCTTGAAATCACCCAGTAGCAATTCTCACCCCAAGGGAGCATTTCTTAGGGTTCCCGTAACAAGGATGATTGTGAGTCCCCTTACAGGCCATCATGGCCTAACAAATGCGTCACCTGCAACTACACGCACGCCAATTTGCACAAACGGAGCCTGAAAGAAAATTTATGTTTATGCTGGGAGGCGATAGTACCTGGAACCCTCCTGTTATTACTAGGGGAAACCCTAGCGACAAATCGAGCGACCCAGAGCTTCCACAGTCTATTACACAGTTCCCAAGATAAAATGTCCTTTACATTTTTAAGTAGACAGCCACTTTCTGCCAAGAAGGATGGGTTAGTCTGTTGTCATGTCTCTGCTGTGCTGCTTAGGGTTCTCGCAAAAAAAGATCATATTATGTAACTTTAACTGGATGCAGGTTTCCAGCTAAGGAGTAATTAATATGTGCAAACTATAACACTTTCACAATAAAAGTCTGCTCAAGAGAATACATTTGGGAGAATAACAGAGACCAGAGGTTTCTGTTTTTTCACTCTCAATGCACAGCGAGCCAATTGGAGTAACTTTTGTTTACTGTCTAGCCGTTAAGTGTTGCCAGGGCCCCGCTTCCCCCACTCACCGCCTTGGGAAAACACCTGCCTCCCTCCCCGCTCGTTTGGAAGGACACTATGTTAAATTTGGAGTTTATTTTGAGGAAAATATTAGTATTAATATTGTGTTACTCTAGTTCAGGGAATAATTACAACATTCATCATGTTTTGACTCAAGTTTTTTCCTTTTGTCTGGAGTCCTGCAATTTGTTTAAAATGATACCTAACTATAGTTTTTACTCACCGAAAGTAAAATCTATTATTCTAGCTTTTCTTCAAAAATGTTTGGTTTTTAATGAACTGTGAGGGTTTTATTATTAGGCTCAGAATAATAATAAAGACCACTTGTCCTAGTCAAAAGTTCAAAACCAACTCCCTTACCCCAAAGCAAACAATTATTTGTTTGGAACCTGCTATGTACCAGACAATCCCCAGATGTCAAAGTTATGGTAATAAAAGACTAAATCCCTATTTTCCTAATCCCTGTGAACGATGCAGATGGATCAACAGATTGTTGTGTTTGGTAAGGACCATGATAAAAAATTACAAACATACTTTCATCCACTTTGGACGGGGTGTGCTGAAACGGGGAAGGGCCTCTCTTCCCAGAAGAAGCAGCACTTAAGCAGAGACTGGAAGATTCATCTTCTTTTCCTCCGCCTGTGATGACTAACATGACTTTAGGTGAAAAGTTAGGATCAGAATTAGGAGGACCTGAGGGATCCCATGAGGCAAAAGTTTCAGGCTTTCAAAGTACAGAATAGTTTGTTAATTTTCCAGACATGTATTGAATACCTGCTTTGTGTTAACATGGTATTAGGGGCTGGGGACATAGCAAAATACACAAAAATCTCTGAGGTTGCATTCTAGTTGGGGAGACAGAAAATCAACATTTTTTTTTAAAGTAAAATTCCTAAGAGAAACAAAAATTTATAAATGAATGTTTATAGCGGCATTATTTACAATAGCCAAGAAGTGGAAAGAACCCAGATGTTCATCAGATGATAAACAGAAAAAGGAAATGTGGTACATTCATATGATGAAATATTAAATGGCTGCTAAAAAGAAATGAAATACTGATCCCTCACCGGTGTGGCTCAGTTGGTTGGGCATCCACTGATTGGATTCCTGGTCAGGGCACATGCCTGGGTTGCGGGCCTGGTACCTGGTTAGGGCGTGTTGGAGAGGCAACCAATCTATGTCCCTCTCCTCTTTCTCTCTACCTTCCCGCTCTCTGAAATAAAGTCTTTTTTAAAAAAGAAAGAAATGAAGTACTGATACATGCTACAACATGGAAGAAACTAGAAAACATGCAAAGTGAATAAAGTTAGTCAACAGAAGCCCACATAACATATGATTCCATTTACATGAAATGTCTAGAACTGGCAAATCTAGAGAGATAGGAAGTATGTTAGTGGTTGCCTAGGACAGAGGAGAGTACAGTGCTTTGAGGGGCAAGGGGGACTGACTGCTAATGGGTCCAGGGGGTCTTTCTGGGGTCATGAGAATGTACTACAATTGATTGTAGAGATGGTTGTACCAAAAACCATTGAATCATATGCTTGAAATGGGTGAATTGTATGATATATGAATTACACCTCAATTTGAAAAAGTAAAAGTTATAGTACATTAAATGTTGGTAAGTTCTATTGAGAACGATGAAAATATGGGGAGAGGCAAGCAGGAATGGGGGCGTTTTGGAGAGTGGGCTGGGGATACAATTTTTCTGCAGGGTAGGGAGGGTAGGTGACATCTGAGTAAAGATCTAAAGGAGGTCAAGAGGAAAATCTTAGACTTTGACAGCTGCAAGGGAAGGAAAGTTTTTTCCATCAACCAGTCATTCCCAGAGGGAAGTTCAGATGTGAAGAACACAGGTAAATACGGAGTAAGTTCAGTTTTAGAAAGTCCTTAATACTACTAACATATTATTTTTGTATTTCCCTATTCGATAAGCATTTAAATAAGACTCACATTGATCAGAAAACACTAAGGGATGTGGGAATTTTAGAAATTTGTGTGGTGGAGATTTGGTTTTTACTGTTTTGGGGGTGTGCACACAGTACGCTGTGAAATGTAGTTGTGTTTGTTTTCCCTTTTGGTTTTCTTAGTTGAACAAATAAAAATTAATAAACATGCCCATCTGCAATTTATTCCCAATACTCTAAATTTTGTATCTTAGAACACTAATCTTTCCCTCTTCCTTAAGACTTTGGCTTAACTTTGTAAACAAGTACTGTGAATGGTGGGTGCATATAGGCACAGCTCTCTTGAAAGCATGTGTCTCCTTCTTTGGACCAGAAGAGGGCACTGAAGAGCTTTCAGGATGTTTACAGGCCCCCATCCCCAAGGGCTGGGTGGAGCCTGAAGCATTCTTTTACTCCCTCCAGCCCCAGTCTCTGACTCAGAAGCAGACTGCACACTCCCACTTTGCTCGAGGACTAGTTCAGACACATTTTTCTAATGTCTAACACCTTTTTAACCTCAAACATGATGTTCTGCTAAATCTTCAAACTTTGGCTCTGTGTTGTAACTCTATGATACTTGTTTTTTGTTGTTTTTGTATTCAGCAGTTTTTGAGGGATATGCAAGGGTTTTTTTAATTTTTTTTAAAGATTTTATTTATTTATATTTAGAGAGAGGGGAAGAAAGGGAGAAAGAGAGAGAAACATCAATGCGTGGTTGCCTCTCGTGCACCCCCAGTTGGGGACCTAGCCCGCAACCCAGGTGGATATGCAAGATTTTACATAAACTGCACAGAAGGAAAGAATCACCAGACATGTTTCAGAGCACATGAATTCTACTAACGAGAAGCAGTACAAGGTATGGACAGGGCATGGCCTGACACCGCTGCCCATAGCTCCCGTGGTAAAAAGCTAATAGCCCAAACTTGCCTCAGTAACTCTCAGAAGTCATACACTCCAATCTTGGCAGTAAAGAGCAGAAGGGGTGACAATAGCTGATTAGCCTACCTTGGGAAGAGAACATAGATATCTCATAGTACAGCAAATATTTATTTTTAAAATTCTTTTATATTTTATTTTTCAATTACAGTTTACATTCAATATTCAATATCTTGTTTTAGTTTCAGGTGTACAGCATAGTGATTAGAAAATCACTTTATAAAATGATCCCTCGATATTTCCAGCACCTGGGACCATACAGTCATTACAATATTATTGGCCATATTCCCTGTGCTGTCCTTTACGTCCCTGTGACTATTTGTAACTACTGATTTGTGCTTCTTAATCCCTTCGCCTCTTTCACCCAGTCCCCCACCCCCTCTCCCCTCTGGCAACCACCAATCTGTTCTGTCTATGGGTTTGTTTCTACTTAGTTTCTTTATTTTGTTCTTTAGATTCTACATATAAGTGAAGTCATGTGGTATTTGTCTTTCTGTGTATGACTTATTTCACACTGCATAATATCCTCTAGGTCCATCGATGGCCGTGGCAAATGGTAAGATTTCATTCTTTTTCATGGCGGACTGATGTTCCATTGAGTATATATATACCATCACTTTTTTATCCACTTACCTATTGATGGGTGTTGGGTTGCTCCCACATCTTGGCTATTATAAATAACATTGCAATAAACATAGAGATGCGCATATTATTTTGAGTTAGTGTTTGGGTTTCTTTGGATATATACCCAGAAGTGGAATCCTTGGGTCATAAGGCAGTTCCATTTTTAATTATTTGAGTACCCTCCATACTGTTTGAGTTGTTGTGTGCTTATTTTTGTTTGTCTCATTTTTTTGTGTGTTCATTATTTGTCTCAAGGTACCTTTTGGCTTGTTCCTTGATCTCATTGTTAACCCGTTCACTGTTTAGGAACATGTTATACAGTCTCCACGTGTTTCTGTGTTTTTCAATTTTTTTTCTTGAAACTGATTTCTAGTTTCATACCATTGTGGTCAGAGGAGATGCTTGATATGATTTCAATCTTCTTAAATTTACTGATACTTGTTTTGTGGCCTAACATGTGGTCTATCCTGGAAAATGTTCTGAGTGCAGTTGAAAAGAATGCATATTCTGCTGCTTGGGGTAAAAAGCTCTGAAAACATAAATTAG